TGAACCGAAACGAACACAGAATGAGGAAAAACGTCAGCTATATGTTTAAAACGACCGGATGTCGTTTTTGATCACGGGGTATCAATTTCAACAATTGTCATTCATCCATGCATAACAAACTTGAATTAATGGATGCAGACTCTAAATTAGTAAAAACGTCAGCCATAAGATTCAAACGACCAGATGTTGTTTTAGTCTGAATAAAGTGTGCTGTCTTTATTACCAAAAACTTGATCAAAATAGCTATAAGAATTTTTCAAAAAACATTACAATTTAAAACATATGTTCAATAATTAATACATCCATAACAAACGTGAATGAACAGAAATGAACACGAAATGAGTACATACGTTTGTCGTACATTTAAGACGACCATATGCCATTTTCATCTGAACAAACAGTGCTATTGTCATAGTGATCTAATATCTGACCGAAACAACTATCAAAATTTATTAAACAACCATCACAGTGTAAAGATTAGATTCAACAATTAACATTCATCCATAACAATTTATCAAAACTATCACAATCTATCAAAAACCATCATAATTTATCCACAATTTCAAGATTCGGTTCGACAAAAACAAGTCCCATGATCTATCTACTAGTCTAGAGCATTTTTGTAAGTCAGATGATTATGGCCCCTCTGACCACACCTACCACATTTATGAGTCCCTCCCTTCTTGATGGAATCTGACTATTTTTTGAGCGCCCACTTTGTCGTCAATTAAAAAAGGGTGGTAACACCTTAGTTTGATTGGAGATTTCCCAGTCAGCCACATTTGCCACTGGATATATACATTCGGCATATGCTCATTTCCAATTAGTACTACTATAATAAGGCGAGCACAAACAGTTATAAGATATTCCCTTAAACTTCGCTGTAGCAAGAACATGTTTGCAAGGAACCTTTTCCAAATCAAATTCTCTACAAGTACATGTTCTTGCCTCCAAGTTAACAATATGCATTTCATTTTCAACACCCACATGTAACTCATACTCATTTATTGGTACCACTATCAACCCCTTTGCATCATCATACTTTGTACGAATTTTATCCTCAATAGGTGGGGTTAGAATAGATACACATTTTTCAGCATCAGTGTGTCTCTCATAAAACCACTTTTGTAAAGTCTTTATGATTTGCTTAACCATAGCAAGTACTGGAAACTCGCGAGCATTCTTGAATAACGAGTTCAATGATTCTGCATTGTTAGTCGTCATAATATTGTAACGAATTCCTTTGAAATGTGCTTGAGATCAAAATTCATACCCAACTTTCTTTTATAGGTATTCTCCAACAACTAAACTTTTACGATATAGATTTGCCATTGATTTTTCAAAATTAATCAAACTATACTATTTTCTTGTTGCCATGAAATGGCAGAATATCAGTCCTATGAATTGAACTTTATGTTTAGTTATAGATGCCACATGCAGCATTCATGATGTGCATTAGGATAAACAATCTTTATAACTTTAAGAATACTATCCTTGCGATCAGAAATAAAAAAAGCCCTTCCAACATACCTGTTATCTGAAACAACTTATTGAAGAACCAAGTCCACGATGCGTCATTTTCAGAATCAACAATGCCAAATGCGAGAGGATATATCTGAAGATTTGCATCTTGACACGTGGCAACAAGTAACTTACCTCGAAATTTAAATTTGAAAAATGTTTCATCCACAGAAATGACCCATCTCATTGATGAGTGAAAACCACATATGCTTGGTCCCAAGGCCATGAAAAAGTATTTGAAATGATTCTCATTATCAACCTCAATGAACGTCACTGTATCGGGATTATTCTTCTTCAGAATATTGCAATATTTGGCCAATCTATCATAACTAAGTTCAGGTAAAACCTTTAATAGCTCTAAAGCACATTCTCTAGCCATCCACGCCTTATAATAATTTATATCAATGCCAAACTCCCGACGAATATCATTTTGAATGTTCGAAGGTCTGTATATAACGTTCGGATCCTCAAACTTCGACATGATGTGTTTTCCAATCACCCAACAACTACCTTGTCTATGATATTTGTGGCGAACATCCTGTGAACAATTATGGTAACGTAAATACTTCGAATCTCAAATTCATCACTTTCCTTCAACTGTGTTGCCCGCAAACGCCATTTGCATATGTACTCTTATTTGACTTAGTGACCTTACAAAAGAATTTCTTCAAGCAAGCATTTGTAGTGAAGTCTGGAGATCCTTCTTGTTGCGAAAAATCTGGTTAACGTGTACATCACCGGTGTTAGGAATCTTAACTGACGTTCTAGAAGGATTTAGACAATCAACAACTTGTGAAATGCTAATAATCTCATCTGTCATGTAAACGGTGTATTATAAGCAACATTGTCTTCATTCATCACATGAAAATCATCTTCGTGGCTGTTACGCACTATTTTCACCACATCCCAATAATCATCACTTGTAAAGTTCACACAATCATTTTCACAATTTTGATTAAATGGAGATAACGATTCCATATAATTGTCACCAGACTTATCTTTTTGCATATTGCATTCATTCATATCCTCCACGTTATTTACAACAACTTTAGGATTGTATTCATGATTCTCATGAATATTTACCATATCAAGCTCCATGTCTTGTTGATCATCAACATAACATTTTTCCACAAGGGTTACACAAATCGGAATTTGGTCGTGCAAAGAGAGAAACCAACTAACATTCCTATCGCAATTAATCTTTATTCGCAGAACTGATAATTTTGTCATGCCACGTAAAAGAAATTTCATCTCAATGCTATACATGACATAATCAACCAACCGTTTTTCTGACTTCCTCAAGATATGTGAAATATTTTTTGACACAAAAATATTTGT